AGGTGACGATTGCGGTTCTTCTCGTCGCCTGGCGCGCCTGCCGCGGCGCCTCCCGAAGAGGCGGCCCCGCTCGAAGGTGTGCCTCCTGCCTTGCTGGGGGGGGGGGGGGGCTTGCCCTCGGCGACTGCGGGGGCGCCCTCGGCCTCGGAGGCGGCGGCGGGCCTCCCGGGCAGCGCCCGCCAAGGCGCCGACGTGGCCCCGCGCGGGCGCGCGAGGCAAGCGCGGGGAGACAGCGTGCTCGCGCAGCGGGGCCAGAGCGCCCAAGTCAACGCGCTTACACGCGGGGCAACAGAGCTCAGGAGCAGTCGCGTGGTAGATGGCGCGGGCCGGTTCCGTCGCAGAACCCGCTCCGAAACGCGCGACGTAGATGGGCCTTGGCCGTCCTGCGAAAAGCAAGGCCGGCTCGGCAAGCAGGGCGCTCGTTGGTGACGACGCACAGGGCACGTTGTTGACCTTCCCGTGGGGGGCTTCGGCGTGGGCCCCATGGGCAACCCTGGCAGCCCGAGAAGCAAACCGACCCCCGCGCAACTTGCCGTCGGCCGTCGCGCACTCACACGTGTAGACCTCGCCAGAAAGCTCCAGGAATAGCCGGGGCAACGAGTTCCGAGGGTTGCCGGAACCAATAAAGTCGCATTACCACTTTGTCAGACTTTGCGAAGTGCCAAGACGCCAGTCTTCAGGAAGAGGTGCGGGACACAATCATCGCACAACAGAGCCTGGATAGACTTTCCCCAAACACCCCTCCAGTCCCCATGATCCGTGAGCAACCCCACATGGTGAACATCAGAGACGAACCGAACCGCGAACGCGTTGGCGCGCGGGGCGAGGGGCCCGTTGTCGAGCGCGGGGTGGTCCCCGAAACCGAGCTGACCGAACAGGGGCGCTGTGCTTGTCGGGCCACCTCGCCATGGCCTGGTGCCGTCAAAGAAGTTGGACCAGCAAATCAAAGCTGGAGGGAACGATGCTCCTCGATTTCCAGACGCGTCGGGTGTCCCCGATGGCGGAGCGCGTGCCCGAGTGGTCGCGCAAGGCGCCCGCAGCTGCGCATCGAATTTTGCCCAGCAGCGCGAGATCAAGCCGGGCCTCCCGGGGCCTAGCGAGGAGGCGCGGGGTGGGGCCAGACAGGGGCGCGCCTTGCACGACGGAATTGAATGCCACTTCCTTCACTTTAAACGAGGCCCCAGAGGTCCACGGAAACTTGGAGGGCAGCCAGCCTCGGTTCGCTGCTGCTTGCTCTGCAACAGTTGGTGCGCGACAGCGCCCAGGGGCGGGGGGGGGCTGCGGCCCCGAGTAGCGAGCGAGGGGGGGCCCGCGGGCCCCGCCCGCATCTGCGCCGCGAAGCTGGCGCGCGGCGTTGTAGCCGCCGAGGCGGGGAACCAAGTCCTGCTTCTTTTGTCTTGCCGATCGCCGAATTCGTCGACGGCGCGTCCGGGCGCGAGCTGTGCGGCCCTCGTAGTCTGCGCCGCTTCCACTGAAACCCTTCTCGCAGAAGTGGCAAGCGGGCTAGGTCACCCACATGCTTGAACAGTCCTGGGTAGACCGATCGGTCAAGGACGGCGCAGCGCGCGCGACTCAGGGACCTCGGCCCCCTCCAACAATCGCTGCAAGGAGTCGGCAAAGTCAGCGCGGAACTCATCTGGGGCGCCGGGCCCCCCCTGAGGGCGCCGCTCTGAAGATGCGGGGCGGCGTCGGTATCCGCTCCTTCAATGTGCGAGGCGCGCCCGCCGGACAGCGGGGCGGCATTCGTCTGGGGCAGGACTTCATTCGGCCCCCGACCCATGCGAGGGCGCTTTCTTGCAGCTGCCAAACGCGTTTTTCATATCAACAAAGTCGGCCACGCGCCCCGCGCGCGCGCGCGCTCAGACAGCGCGCGCGCCCCCGAGATTGCACTCTCGCGCCGCCGACGCGGCGCGCGTCCGCGATCTTGGTCAGCAGGCTGCGCGCGCGGCGCGCTTCGATAAATCCATCGTGCTATCGCCCGAAACAATAATAAGCAGACGTCGTTCCGAGACCTGGTGCCCCCGTCGGGCTCGGGGGTCTGCCAGCCAGCCGAGGGGTCCGCGGCCGTTGGAAAACAACCCGAGACCCTCCACATCGTGGCCAGACTACCGAGCCCTTTCTGGATGGCCTCACCGTTCGGTGGCCCGGGGTTCCGCCGACCCCGACTGGGGCGGGGCGAGGCGTGCTCTAGTGCCTGGGCAGCAAGAGCGCGGGCCAGAGCTCGCCAGGAAAGGGCCGGGCGGGGGCGGAGCGGCGGAGGGTGGCTCTCCTCAGAACCCGGGCGGCGCGCTAAACATCTTTTTCCTTAAATCTGCCCGGCCGAGCCCCGAAAGCTGAGCCCCCGCGGGGGCAGCAGGTCGGCTCTGGGCGCCACAAGATCGGACATCGCGATGGGGGCCGCCGAAGGCCCGCCCTCTCTGCCAGGAAGTCCCATCGCCTGGGTGAGCTCAGCAGCGGACGGCACACGCAAACGAACTCAGTTGTACGAGCGCCTCTTGGGACCGAGCCCTGTGCCCGCCAGGCGGCGGCTGAAAAACCGAACGCTGGCCAAGTCGCCACGCCCCCGCGAGTCGTGGAGCGCCTCGGTCCAGGAATGGCGAAGCGACCCGGTCCACCTTCTGACCGCCCATCGGATCCGATTCGCGAAATCGCGCGCCTGGGAATCGCAATGCGCGTCGGGCTGCCCCAACGCGCGCGGGCGCGCGCGAGCGCGGCGGAGGCGACGCATTTGCCGGCGATGCCGTGAGAGCTCCTCCCCAGGCGCCCGGCGAGCCCGACCGAAGTGCTTCTGCGCGATAGGAGCCGCGATGCCCATGGAATCCTCGAAGGCCCAGTCAATCATGTTGAACTCCAGCAGCCCAGGGTGGGAAGCAGATGCCCGCGCCGGAGCCGAGTTGACCTCCCCCAGGAACGGCTCGCGCAAGTCATGGGTTTGCAGGCCCATCTCGATCGCGTCGAAGTTCCACATGGTGGCCTGGGCTTGCGACTGCACGGGCGAGGCGCCAAGGTCCGCCTCCAGCAGCACTGGCGAGCGGTCCCGCAGGGCGCCCTTGGCGGGAAACATATGCGGGGCGCGGGCGGCCTTAGTTATGGTGGTTAGCTTCGAAACGCGGCTGAGCGTGCCCAAGGGCAGACGTAGTGGTCCATCCACGACGACGACTTCTCACCGTTCTAGGTCGGCGCAGTGGCTGAAAAAGGTGGAGGCGCAACACAATAACTGGCGGTGCATGAGGTCCCGCAGCGCAATCGCCGCGTAGCCCATGGTGGGCCGCACGCGGGGCTTAGTACAGGTGAACGAGTCGCTGTCCTCGTCGTGCGCGAACGAGTCGTTCAGGTCGCAGAACAGCACGGGGGAGGTACGCTGCGGTGCTCGATCCAGCTGCTGGCCGATCCACTCGATGAAGACGTCCATCGTGCGCTGCCACGCAGCTTGTGCACGTCGCGCCAGCATGGTGAGGTCCAGCGACCCAGCGACCACGCGAACCAAGCCCGCGCGGCCTGTGGCCGTGGCAGGCCCACGTACAATCTGGTGCACCTTCGTCGCGAGGTCCCTGCGCCGCAGCCCGATGCTCACGCGCGCCGAACACTTGGTGAAAGGCCCGCGACCACATCCAAAATGGTAGTAGTCGTGCTGCTCGATCTGTACTTGACGTCGGGCCTGCTTTCCTGGGCCCGCCCGCAAATGCGTGCCGATCAAAACATGGACAGGAAAGTTGCGAGCGAGCAAGGCGATCTCCATGAGCCGCCGTGGCTGCACCAGGCTGCACACTTTGTATCCGAACATCGCATGGGGAACCTTGCTGAATCAATCGAGTCCAACGACGGCGCAGGGCCCCCCCCTTTTCAATAGTGTCGGTGTCCACGCAACTGCTGAGTGGTGCCGACAAAAGCCCAGAGTGGGCCGCTCGACACAGAAAGGGGCTGGAGAAGGAGGAGGAAGAGGAGGAGGAGGAGGAGGAGGAGGAGGAGGAGGAGGAAGAGGAGGAGCAGGAGGACGAGGAGGAGAACGACAACGACAACGACGACGACGACGAGGCCGAGGACGAGCACGACGCCGATCCGCCCCCGAGCGCGGCGCACGCCGCCCAGAGACACCCTGGCGCCAGTTCTCTCACACCGGGGGCGCAAAACCTGGGTTTTGTCTGCTGTCAACGAGGGGCCGTGGGGGCGCGCCCTCTAAGACGAAACCAGGACGAGGATAAATTTCGACGAGGACAAGTAGGACATCTGTGGGACCCGGCGGTTCTGGTCCTCCTCCCCCTCTTCCTCTTCGTCGTCCTCGTCGTCGTCGTCTTCGGGGTCGGCGGACTGGCCGTAAGGCATTCGCGATCTCTGGAACGGATCGATCCTTGTCCCAGCCGCGCCCGACTTCTCCCCCTCCGTTCGCTCTGCTTCCCCCCATTGCTCCGAGTCGTGGGGCCGCGGTGGATCCCGGCCGGCTGACCGCTCTGAAGCCGAGGCGCTGCCGTGCACTCCGGGCCTCTTGCCCACGGAGCGCGCAGAGGGCATGTGCCGCGATGATGTGGCGGGCCTCCGGGCGGACAAGGAACTGCCACCTGGACCTGGGCCCCGGAGGCCCTCACGGATCGGTCCGGCTTGAGGAATGCCGCAGAAGCCCAAAGGACTCTCTGTCGTGAGAGAATCGTCGGCGGTGTGAGCGCCGCCCAAAAGACTTCGCGTCGCCCGAACAACGCAGCGTCGCCCAAACGACTTAGCAACGCGGACGGTTTCTGACAATTTTCGGCCTCTGGGGGCCCTCATTAAGCCCTGGGGCTGTAACAAAAACGACTCGGGATGAAAAACTGCCATCGGGGAAGTGGTCGAGACTTCTGGGATCGCGAATCGAAAAAAAACAAGATATCGGATGTCTTTGGAGATGCCGCACATCGGTGGGATCGAAGGGCTCCAGTTGCAATTTCTGTTTTACGTTTTTCGATTTTCAGCGTCGTCGGATCGGGGCGCTCGATCGGCGAAAGGCTGGGGCCTTCTGAGCTCAAGGCTGGTCGCGGGTTCTGGCCCTTCCAGCTGCGTGACGGTGGCTTCCCTGGGGTACGCCTTGCTGATCGGCGTCCGAATCACGAGCTTGAAATCACCCGCCGTCTTGACCACGGCGGTAATCTCCCTTGCCTCGCCAGGGGTACCTGGGCCCTCGATGAAGATGATATCTCCGACATGGAATCCCCTGAACGACATGACCGGAAGCTGGGTCGTCCCTTGCGAAATCTCATTTCTCAGCGTAGTGAAGTGATTCGTTCTCTTGATGGCGACCTCCTCCTCCTCAGCAATACTTGGCTCCTCCTCAGGCTCCGCGGAGGCCTTCGCAACGACGACGTCAGAGCCGGACGGATAAGAATTGTCTAACGGCGACTCCAGAGTAAACGTCCCATCTTCCAGCCCAACTATAACCCCCCGTTCTGAGGTGCCGTCGGCATTGAATATCATCAGATCGCTGCCGACAACAATGCCTGTCTGACGCTCGAGCATCAGCGTCTTGTCCCCCGTCGTGACAGCCCCGGTCGTCTTCGTGCTCACCCTGTCGGGGCCAACACCGTTCAATGCCTGATCCGAAGAAGCCGGGAGCCTCACGCACGTGCTGGCCCCAGACAGCCCGAGCTCGCAAGTGAGCCCCGCGGCGCACGCGCTGGTGCTGTCATCAAAGCGGCAAGCCCCGCCCTCCGCGATGACGTCCGGCCACGGCTCGAAGGGCGGCGTCGACGAGGGCGACAACGTGGTGGACGAACTGCTGATAAGGCCCTGGAGGCCGTTTATGTCGGGCAGCAGGCAGCTCCAATGGGTTCTATGCTGCGGCGGATCGCCCTCCCACGTGCCAGGGCTACAAGATGCCCGGCATCCTGCCCAGTGCCGATCCTTCTCGAAGCATCTCAGCGACGGATCCTTGCATTAAATCGGGCGTGCCCTCCTACAGGCGGATTTTGGACGAAAAATAAAACAATCTCAAACAATGCCCCAACAATGCAAACAAAAGAAGAATCCCCAGACTATTTTTGAATATTTCCCCTGTAGAGGGATAGGCCCGACTTAATCCTTGCAGCACTTGGTGCTGGTGCAGTTCTCCCCAACGGCGGAGCACTCAGTGCTGCTGTTCCTCGCTGCGCCTGGCGCTCCTGCAATCCCAAGATGGCCTCTCGGGGGACAAAAAGATACCGACACCGCTACTCTTAGGTCGGGCATGTCCCCCTACGGGGGGATTTTGGTCGAAAAATGAAAGGTACCCCAAAAAATCCAAAATGCAAAAACAGATTCAGAAAATCGTCCTCTGATTTTTTTGTATAAACTATTTTTGAATATTCCTCCTGTAGAGGGACACGCCCGAGTCGTGGCTCCGAAGGAAGGGCAGCGGTATCGGTATCTTTTCCTCCTCTGAGCGCCTGGCGTGAAGTTTCCAGGAAAGGTGCCGCTCCCAAGGACATCCTGGCCTGCGCCAAGGCCCTCGGTTCTGGAAGACGTATTGCTCCCGGGCAGCGCGCCGGGCAGCAGCAGGTGCCAGTGGGCCAGGTCGCGCCAGCGGTGGTCGAAGAGGCCGAGGGCCCACCAGAGCACGAACACCCCGCAGCTGCACAGCAGACAGAAGCAACAGCTCCTCAGCCGCCACCCGTAGAAGACGTGGGGGCTGCAGAGGTCCTCAGGTGATTAGCAATAAAAGGAACCCTTAACCCTTTGGGAAGGGACCTGAGCTAGGAGGGCCAAGAACACCAGGGATATGGGGTCTTTTATGCGGATGTATCAGACCAGCCCGCCCAAATGTATGACCCCTAGTGCAAAGATGGGAACCTAAGTAAGGCCACGTCTTCACTCTGTTATTAGGGCTAGGGGTTCTTCTATCCTCGATGATTAGGGCAACAAGGAACGGCTGATTGGCTGATCGGGCAGCTGATTGCGGCAGCTGTGGCTCTGCGACTGACGCTCTGGACGGGTGGCAAAGAACGGCCGGCGCAGAACAACGGTCAAGGCGAGGGGAGGAGAGGAGGGGGAATACGACGACAAAGGAGAGAGGAGGGAAGAGACGAAGAGCATCAAATTTTGGCGGCGCGCAGAAAGGGGGGGAATTAGGGGACAGACCGGGCATAGCTAGTGTATTTGTATTTTTTTTGTGCGTCCTTGTACTCAGAGTCCACAGGTCCTGGACTCGACTTTTCCACGCCCGGCGGCGCAGAAGAAGGCGAGACCATTCCACCTTTCAGTGACGACGCATTGCGGCATGGACTCAAGCAGCTGAAGAACGGTATAGTCGAGGACACCAGGGGAATAGCAGCCGAAATGCTGAAGTACGGAGGGAAGGCGCTGAGGAATGCATTGCGGAACCCGTTCGACGATATTACCACTGACGGTGCAATAGCACCACGCCCAATGGAAACACACCCTAATCAGCGTTATTGTCAGATCTGGGGAGCTGGAATTACCGCAGAGATCCCGCTCATGTGCAACATTTTCTCGCGATTGTTGTGCAACCGATTGGAACCAATCTTGGAGTCACAACAGCCGCCCGAACAGGCTGGATTCCGGCGCCGCTACAATACAGATGACCATTTGTTGGCCTTCGCGATTTTACAAAGAAAGGCCAGGGAGTTCCAACTCCCAGTGTGGGTGGCTACACTGGACTTCAAGAACGCATTTGACACGGTCTCACACAAATCACTGTGGGAGGCCATGCGCGCGCATGGCGTTCCGAAATCATATATCTATATCATTGCGGGCATGTAATCAGACCAGACAGCATGCATCAAGACGGACGTCTGCAGCACAACGTTTTCCATCAGGCGTGGGACTAAGCAGGGCGACCCTTTGAATTCATTACTGCTCAACTGTCTGTCAGAATTTGTGTTCGCAGAGTTTCGTGCGAAATGGGCCGACAGGAAGTACGGAGTAAAAGTAGCGGGGAGCTCTGACTGGCTTGCCAACCTTCGATTTGCTGATGACGTTCTGTTGATTGCGACCTCATTCAGGCAAGTAAACGCCATGATCCATGATGGGATGGATGCTGCGCAGCCTACTGGTCTGGAGATCCATCCTGGGAAAACCACGATATTGCACAATGTGGAATGTCGGCGGCCGCGTGGTCACCCTGAGCACACAACTGTCAATGGGAGAAACATCGAAGTACTACCATTCGAAGGTGTGCAGAAGTACGTCGGGGCAATATTACTCTATGCAATCCTGCCGCGACAGAGGTTGAATCCCGAATCAAAGGCTGCCTGGAAAAGTTCGGCCTCTTCAAGCAAGAGCTTACTGAGCGGTCGTATTCATTGAAAGACCGTTTGCGGTTATTTCACGGCACCGTTTCTACAACGCTACTTTATGGTGCTGGGTCTTGGAGATTGCGGTCCACACAACGCCATATCCTAAGGCTGATCCTGGGACCCCCACGGCGCCAGGCCTCATGCACTATCGCAGATCTGGCTATAGAGTGCTGCGCCGACAGCACAAACGCGGCTTCGAACAACGACACTGGTAGAAGCAACAGCAGCACGACCAGCAGCAGCAGCAGCAGCACCAGCAACAACAACGACACCGACTCTGCTGAAAGCGGCACCACGCCGTCATCGAGCCCGCGCTCCCCGATACATACATTGGTGGAACCATGGCACGAGTGGATTCGTTGCACGACCAAACACATTGAAAGATAATGTGATGAACTTGGGTACGAAGACTGGTGCACGCGGCAAAAAGGACTACAGTGGAGGTCTACAGCTGCAGTGGTGCACGACGACATCGGCAAGTGGAGCCGAAAGGTTCTTACGTGGGACCCTCTATCTACACATATCGATGCGAAACGCCTGCCGCACCGACCGCACAAACGGGGGACTGACGACGTTGCAGTTTTGGTTCGCACGACGTGCGCACAGGAATAGGAATCGGTGGTATCAGATGTTGTCAGATGGGCAAATGTGGAAGATTCGCACGTGTCCCGCACAAAACGTCCAACAACAATACACCCTGCGAGATGCTTAAGAAATCATGGGTTAAGAAATTCATAGTCTCAGAAATTAACGAAAACCCAGAACTTCTGTCAAAATCTTGGGATTTACATTGAAAAGTTAAGAATAATCGAGACTCTGGACGAAAACTTAGGTTTTCTTAAGCATCGCCTAAGGTGTACAACCACAGGGCGTGGAATACATTGGCCTGTGTATGGTATGCGACGCTCGAGTGATGCCTGCGCCCCCGAGCGCCACCGCCTAGGCCCCACGCGGGGCCGTCCCCCTGGGACGACACACACCTTGCGAAATGCTTAAGAAATCATGGGTTAAGAAATTCGTAGTCTCAGAACTTGAATAAAAACCCAACATTTCCATTAAACTTCTTTGGATTTTAATTGAACAATTAAGATAATCGAGACTCTGGCCGAAGACTTAAGTTTTCTTAAGCATCGCCTAAGGTGTAGGCGCATCCTCGGCCAGCCTCAGCCTCTCCCAGCTTGCAAACTCCCCAGGCATCCCTTCCAGCGTCCTGGCATGCGTCCCCCACAGACGTTTCACGCGCTTTGGACTGCACTGCTTTCCGGGTTTCGGAGGCTACACATGTTCATGTTTGGTTCCTTCTTCGAGTCCTGGTCGTAGGATCCAGCGCCCTCGCCCACGTAGTTGTACGTCTCCACCTTCTCATAGCCGCCCTGGCCGGCACCCACATACGACCAGTTCGGCTCCACGCGCTCCGGCCGGAAACACATGCCCCTGGCTGGGGGCAAAGAGGGCGCAGATACGCAGATATCCGGGTGACCCAAAAGGGGGTCCAGCTGAAAGGGGGTGGTGCAATAGATTTGGGGCAATTGTATTGCAAATGTATTGCGCCAGAGACTTGGATTGCATTGCTTTGCAAGTAAATGTATTGCACGCGAAAATCCAGCAATACATCTGCGCCCCGGAATGTATTGCACGCCCCAAATGCGTTGTAACCCCGCAAATATATTGCACCAAATCTATTGCACCACCCCCTTGTCGTTGGACCCCCTTTTGGGTCAACCCGAAGATAACCTCCCGCGCCACCCCTCTACGGCAGGCAAGCCTGAGCTGGACCGAATCGCGAAATCGGATCGGATCGGAAGTGGATCGGATCGCCAGCGAGTCGTCCGAATCGAACCGAGATCGAACCACCGGGCCTGGCCCTGGCTGGCCCCAGCCGACGACGGCGAATCGAGTCGCATCGAATCGGATCTTAGGTGGCCCTGGCAGGCTCGCGCCATGACGACTTAATTGTACTTGGATCACCGCGGGAGGTGCTACGTGGATTACGAGGGCAATACATGGATTCGAATGTGGGTTATATCTGGCCGACGCAATAACTGCGTCGACATGAACTGGAAACTGGGCGAAGGCTGGCAAATCCGTGGCTGCTAAAACGGTCTTCCCGGAAGAAAAAAACAAGTTCCCGGAATCGAGCTCAGCGCACTAAATAATAAACGGGCTGCTTCCCAGACGAAAACAACAATTTCCCGGAACTCCGTTTTACCAGCCACGGGTTTGCCAGCCTTCGCCCGGCTTCTGAACTAATTTGCGAGGGCGGCCATCCTGCTTGTTTTTGTAGCGCTCATGTTGCACAATGCCTACGGAGGAAGGGTGTACGTGCGCCTCCCAGACGGCAGTGCCGACGGCGACGTTTCGCTCCCCCCCCGCCTCGTTCCACCCCAGCGGCTGTCAATGCCGCACCCGAAGCACCCCTCCTCGCGTGTGGTGACGGGCGCGGTCCTCGCGGACGGGGGGGGGACTCAGTCAGCTGACACAGTTGACCCGGGAGGAAGGGATGAGGAAATGAGAAGGGAGGAGGAGAAGGAAGGGGGGAAGAGGAGGAGGAGGAGGAGGAGGAGGAGGAGGAGGAGGAGGAGGAGGAGGAGGAGGAGGAGGAGAGGAGGAGGAGGAGGAGGAGGAGGAGGAGGAGAGAGGAGGAGGGAGGAGAGAGGAGGAGGGGAGGAGGATAGGGACCAGCGTAAACCCAGAATGAGCCAACGACGCTTCAATATATCCTCCCGTCTCAAGCTCCCTATTCACATGTCCCTGCAGACGCTCTTTTTAATGAGGGAAGCACCTCCTTGCAAGATAAGCGCCCCACGGGCATGCCATGCAGGAGCGAACTCCATTTCGAAAAGGACCTGCCTTCATCCTTCTGGCTATGAGGAATGCTAAGAGTTACGATCATGAGGCTGGATATCCAGCGAGAGCCACGTTTTGTGCCCCAGGCCCGCCCCCTCTGCGAGCACCTGCTGCGCAATGTCACACTTCGGGCCATGCATCCTGAGGAAGTCTCGAGTGGGAGCCCCACTTCGAAAAATGAGCCGCCCTCTATTTGCGTAGCTGTTGCACACTTCTACGCTCATGGCAATGCTTGCCTCAATCAATGCACCAATTTCGACAAACAAGATCCGCCCCCTATCCGCGCGGCGCCAGAACGGGATCCACACGTCGAACGTCACCCACCCGCCGTCCTCGTCCATGTTAGGTATGGTTGAGGTGACTGTGCGCGGCGCCGAGGCAATCACCATATTTGGAACACAATTCGTCCTCCACACTTGTTGCAACTGGGGCCCGTGTGTCACGTATGCGCACAGCGCTGAGGCGATCACCACATTTGGAAAACCACCCGCCCTCCATCGGTGTAGAGGAGGAGGAGCAGGAGGAGGAGGAAGAGGAAGAGGAGGAAAAGGAGGAGGAGGAGGAGGAGGAGGAGGAGGAGGAGGAGAGGAGACATGAACGCAATACAAGCACGAGGAGGATAACGAGTTGGAGTAGGAATCAAACCGACCGACTCGAGCGGGTCGGAGGGCGCCGCCGACCGCCCACGCTCCCTCACATCACGTAGGAATCAGCCGGCGCAACCGTACACTGCGACTCCTCCTCCTCCTCCGCCGTCCCTCCTTCCCTCCCTCCCTCCATCCCTCCTCCTCCTCATCCTCCTCCTCCTCCTCCTCGTCCTCCTCCCTCCTCCTCCCCTCCTCCTCCTCCTCCTCATCCTCCTCCTCCTCCTCCTCCTCTTCCTCCTCTCCTCCTCCTCCTCCTCCTCCCCGTCCTCCTCCTCCTCCTCCCTCTTTTCTTCCCTCTTCCCTCCTTTCTTCTTCCCTCCTCCCTCCTCCCTCCTTTCTTCCCTCCTCCCTCCTCCGTCCTCCCTCCTCCTCCGTCCTCCCTCCTCCCTCCCCCCTCCTCCCTCCTCCCTCCTCCCTCCTCCCTCCTCCTCCTCCTCCCTCCTCCTCCTCCCTCCTCCTCCGTCTCCTCCTCCTCCTCCCTCCCTTCCTCCCTACTTACCCCTCCCTCCCTCCCTCCCTCCCTTCTCCTCCTCCTCCTCCTCCTCGTCCTCCGCCTCCCCCTCCCACTCCACCTCCCTCCTCCTCCTCCTCCTGATCATCATCATCCTCCTCCTCCTTCTCCTCCTCCTCCTCCCTCCTCCTCCCTCCTCCCCCTTTCTCCTCCTCCTCCCCCTCCTTCTCCTCCTTCTCCTTCTCCTCCTCCTCCTCCTTCTCCTCCTCCTCCTTCTCCTCCTCCTCCTGGGAGCAGGACCCACTTGGGGGCGCGCGCGTAGCTCCGCCTCCTGACGGCTCGGCGACGCGAAGGCGTGGGCTGCGCGCAGTCAGGAGCGAAAGCCTCGGGGAATCCCCGCGCGGCGCCTCGGCGAGAGCACCACTCAGCCTGCTTGCGGGAGGTCAAGATTTTCATAAGAAATGGCCCAGGGACACACAACACAACCACAAACACACACACACACACAACACAACACACCACACCACACCACAACACAACACAACACAACACAACACAACACAGCACAGCACAGCACAGCTCAGCACTGCACAGCAGAGCACACCACAACGCAACACACCACAGCACAACACACACACACCGACACAACACAACAGAACACACCACACCACAACACACCACACCATACCACACCACACCACACCACAACACACACAACAGACAACACACACAACACAACACACAACGCACACAACACGCACACAACACACACGCACCACACACACGAAACACACAATGCACAATCCATAACACATCACACACCACACACATATAAATAGACACACGTTCCAGGATTCCCCGCATTTTCCAATCTTTTCTGGGTTGTCGTCTTCCTCCCACTTCCCATATTTTCCCATATTTTTCTGGGGGTCGACGATTCATTGTGTCTGTGTGTTTCTTCCCCTCCTGGCCATATGACAGGTGGCCGCGAAACACGCGCCGCGCCATAGCTCGAGCGCCACTGTCCGGCGACGACTGCGCAGCTCCTGGGCGAGGGACAGCATCTCGAGCGCTCGCGCGCGGCTCCGCTCGCGTCGACTGGGCGAGCAAAACATGTGCGTCGCGCCAGAGCGGGAGCGCCACTTTCAGGCGACATCTGCGCGGCATTGCTGAGCGAGAGCGACACTTCGCCCACGCGCACGCGGCCGCGATGCCGACGAACTGGCGAGACAAAAGATCGCCGCGCCGAAGCTGGAGCGCCACCTCCAGGGAAAACCGGCAGGGCACCTTTGGGGCGAGCGCGACCCCTGCTCGCTCGCGCGACCCCTCTGCAGACGCAATGGCGGGTGAAACGTGTGCGCCGTGCCGAGCAGGCGGGAGCGCAGTTTCCACATCAAAGCCAGGAGTCGCTGAGGCGAGAACGACATTTCGCCCTTTCGCGCGTGGTGTGCGCCACGCCCCATTCTGGCCGCGCATTTTGCAACGTCGACGGCAGAACGCCCATGTTGAGTGGAAAAAGCGTTGGCCTTCGTACCATTTCCTGCTATGATGGAAAATTCTGGATGCTATCGGGCGGCTATGTGGCCGACACCGGGAAACCCGAATCCCAAAAAGCTGTCATCTCTTGGGAGGGCGGAACTTCACCTTCGCCGGCCTTCCGATGACCTCAGGACGGAGCCAAGACGGGGCAAAATCAGGCTGGGAGACATCGGGGACCTCTGCGACCCAGCGGCCTTGGAGAATGTATCGGGCATCGCGGTGTTTGCAGAGCGCTGAAAAAAGTTCGGAGAACGTTCCGGAACTCTCTGGAACGATTATCCTGGCTCTGTCCCCGCCCACTGGCTTCCGCCGGCGCCACTCTCGCTTTATTGCTGTCGTCGCCTGCCGCCGAGGAACAGAAGACAACCACGTCGATCACTCCACGGCGTGGCCGTTTCTGGAGCACCGTCAACGGCAAAATGAGAGGAATTCATGAGGAGCCGGAATAGAGGGAGAAGGAGGAGGAGGCGGAGGAGGAGCAGGAGGAGGAATTCAGGAATGCAGTAAGAAGACTGCGTCTGCTCACAGACACAGCTCTACCAGAGACCCCTCTAGGAGGAAAGAGAATCAGGAACGCAGCAGGAGACCCTTCCTGCAGGGCGCACCTGGAACCAAAACCACTCCTGGACCCCAGGCGCCGAGAGAGGCTGCCGAGTCTTGAGATGGCGGCCCGCTTCCAGCTGGGCCAGGATCCGCCTCTGAATAGGAGGAGGAGGAGGAGGAGGAGGAGGAGGAGGAGGAGGAGGAGGAGGAGGAGGAGGAGGAGGAGGGGGAGGAAGAGGAGGAGGAGGAGGAGGAGAGGAGGAGGAGGAGGAGGAGGGAGGAGGAGAATGGGGAGGAGGAGGGAGGAGGAGGAGGAGGAGGATTAGGAGGAGGAGGGGGAGGAGGAGGACGAGGAGAAGGAGAAGGAGGAGGGGGAGGAGGAGAAGGAGGAGGAGGGGGAGGA